ACTAATCAATTAAATACCTAACTTGTCAAATTATCTAATTCATCGAAGAACCAAATTTCTAATCAAATAACCTAATTCTTAATAAAAGCACTTAATTCATCAAAATATTAAATGCATAATCAACGTATACATATAACTCATCAAATTTAATATAATTCATGAAACTACATAATTCATATTTAATATATATACTTAACTAATCAAATACCTAATTTATCAAACTAACTGATTCATCAAAATACCTATTTCACAATAAAAAAAAATTATTAAAATTCAAAATTGAACATTTAAAAACAGAAAATTCAAAATATAGAATAATAATAGTGATATTCAAAATTGAACATTTTTTTTTTTAGAAAAAGAACTTAACGCATTGAATCAAGATGAAAACAATCAACAAGAAATTGAGGAGGATTGTTAAACCACTCCCCGCAACCTAACACAGAAACGGCTTCCCGAGCAACAGTGTGGGCAGTACGATTCGCAGATCGCTTAGCAAAACAGAAGTGTACACCATCAATCGTGGATGCAACTTCTTTAATATCATCAATAATAAAACCAAAAGAAGAAATAAAAGAGTTTGAACGTAAAGCAAAATAGACTAATTGGGAGTCTGTCTCAATGTCAACATCCCCCATGCTTGTACCTTTCAACCAACTAAGGGCCTCCCGAATGCATACTGCCTCAGCCTCTTTAACACTGTATAGACCCGAGATACACATACCTTTAGCCGCTAAAAATTGTCCTTCGTCATCTCGTAAAATCCAGTCGAATCCCATCTTGTTATTTTTTTCATCGAAAGCCGCATCTGTGTTAAGTTTTATTCGACCAGAATTCGGCAGACTCCACTTCATTTGCACAGCAGTCGACAAAATAGATCCACTTTCCCCGCCTTCCAGTTTGCTAAGAACATTATGTAGCGGAACTTAATGTCATTTACCATGTGAGAGTATATTTGATTAGAATCAGTCAAGGGTCTCTGTGTGAACCCATAGGCTACAATCCCGCTTCATATCATATCAACCCGTTATTCTTATTTCTCTTCCATGCACACACCCATTTTTAACCTTTAGGGTTAACACTCAACGGTGTATTGTTATAAAGAAAAAACACTACGAGCAGACAAAAGGACAAACAGTTTATTCGAAAAACAGCAGAGGCCTAAGACTCGGCCAAATACAGAGTACAAGGGGGCCTAAGACTCGGCCAAATACGGGGCACAAAGGAAAAGATGGATCATGGCTTGGCTTCCTCCTCCGACGGCTGAGCAGGGGGAGGACCCTCCAAGAAGTACTGAGGGCGGAAAGGTGGAGGACTCGGCTCAGGCTCCGACACCTCGTCCAGATACACGGCTGGCTTCCCGTCATCAATCATCTGCAAGGGCCTCTCCAAGGAATTCGGAAACATGGCTACGCCAAAAAGAGGAGGAACCTCCCACACCCCCTCCTCCTCCGGGCCCGGATCGTCCAGCACTGGTTCCACCTTGTCATTAGTCGGCTCCACGGGGGCCAGATCCAGCATATCTGGGGACACCACGATAGGATCAGAGCTTGAGTCGCCCACCAGATGTCCACCGTTGGCCAGCCTTTTCTGCCTTAGCTCTTCCAGGCGAGCATGCTCCTTGTTGCGAATGGAGAAGCGACGATCGCCGACTCCGTAGCTCATGATCAAAGGTCTATGAACAGAAGTGGTATGAATCACCAGCATAAGAGGCCTTTATATAGCCTCAGAAGGACGAATATCTAGGCGGAAATCACGGAGCTGATAGTAAACTGCCGTGATCAGGCCAGATTAGACGGGAGACAGGGATCTCTGTCAGAGGGTAGTTCCATCAAATCCGCTCGAGAAGAGTGAGATTCGCACGTTGAACTGAAAAAGACAGATTCACCAAGGATACAGAGAATATTGCAGACATCAGACTGAAAAGGGCCTGACAACGTGGCCGACTCCCGGACCCATCGGCCGGGAGAGTAGGATGGGTGCCGAAAAAGAATTATGAAGCAAAGTCCCCCAAGGTGGGAGCGTAATTTTATTAATAAAGGAGGGGAATACACAAAATAAAGAGCTTATTACATCACAAATAAATAAGAAATGCTCTTATGTAGTCCCCCCGGAAATACGGAAACAAATCTTGACCGAGGCCGTCACTCGTGGGAGAAGAAGAGTTGCTTCCAAAGAACGCCTCCCCTGATGGTCTAGTGGGAGAAGGACAGAAGGTATCCCAAAAGGCCGGCATGATTGGTGGCACCACCGGTTCCTCGTCATCCGGATACATTTCCAGATATCGAGCGAAGTCGGCATCATTCATCAGGCCCGTAGCCGGTCCGTCCAGATCATCAAGCGGAATAGAGAAGGTCATGCGAAAGGTCAACTGTTCGGGGACGGCCACCTCCACGAAGGACCCATCCTGAGCAGTCACCTTGGCGGTAGCCGGGGGTGGCGGATTGAATGAAGTCGGAACATTCTCCGTGCGAGTAGGGGTCGGCGGCTGTTGAACAGAGGAAGTAGCACCGGTGGGAGACCTCTGAGAAGCCGGTCGAGGGGCCATCTTCTTATTCTCCCTCTCGGGTCGAGTCCGCTTGGAAGGTAGAGGGCGTCGGGGAGACCCAAAGTCGATCCGCTTTCCCTTCAAAGGCGAGCGACCCATGGTTGATCAGTGAGAGGAGACGTAGAGGACCAGAGGCTATTTATATGAACCATGCGGAGCGGGGAGAATCCAAACGGCTCTGCTGAATCCGGAAAGATAGCAGAGGATCCGGACGTTATGAGGTCTCTTTAAAGACGGAGATCCGATGATGGAGAGGACGGACAGTTACTACTTTCCCAAACCCGGATTAGTGGCCCGGGTATGAGAAAGTGAGGGACTAGTTGATGGGGTGAGGACCCCGGCCCAAGAAGAAGGGCCCAAAAGAGGAGTCCAGAAAGGGAGATATGGGCCAGTAGCGAAAAGAAGCCTAGTAAAAAGCTAGGGCCGAGTCCAAGAGTCGGCCTAGGCCCAAGCGCGGACAGAGACTCGACCCTGAGCCATTAAGGAACATTGAAGAGCCTCATTTAAGAAGACTCGGCCCAGAGAGCCGTTGAAAGGCGTTCCAAGCGTAGCTTTTAAGTCGGTCCAGGAGCCGTTGGAGGCATTAAAGACAGGACTCGGTCAAGCAAGCAGTTATGAATCCATAGAGCCGTTGGCTGGCCCGGTAACGGCGCCCAACAGTTTAATAATTGTAATTAGCTTTAAAAGCCATGATTAATGTCCCTCAAGTCGGACGGAGATAAGCCTACTATATAAAGGCCTCTCCGCCCTTGTAATCGGGGCGAGCCCATGCCCAGAGAATAAGACATACACACTTCCTAGCTATTCGACTACTCTTTTGCGATCGCTTTTGAGAAAGGTGAATCCACCAACCAAAGGTTGTGTTGGACCTCCTTGGGCCCGAAAACCCAAAAACCAACAAACATTATGTAGCGGAACTTAATGTCATTTACCATGTGAGAGTATATTTGATTAGAATCAATCAAGGGTCTCTGTGTGAACCCATAGGCTACAACCCCACTTCATATCATATCAACTCGTTATTCTTATTTCTCTTCCGTGCACACACCCATTTTTAACCTTTAGGGTTAACACTCAACGGTGTATTGTTATAAAGAAAAAATATATATATTTTAGTGAGTAGAGATATGCCTTAATTACTTCTTTATACGTTAAATAGTCGAGGCACTTCCTGTGCCTTAACTTATATTCAAATTATCATATAACAGAGCAATTTGTAAAGGTAATTGTGTTGTCGACAACTATAATACTTTCATAAATCTCTCCCATATTTATAATTGTTCATGGCAATATTAAAGTCAACCAGATTCTAGACATTGCCTAGAACATGTAAATCATGCAATTGATCCTCGGTGGAAGTCTCGTTACAAGATCAAAACATAGAGAAAGCTAGAATGTCAAAATTGAGGCAGAAAGATACACCATCATTCTCATTCATTATTCGATCTCATAATGTCCATGATCCTAGAAAATATGATAATGGCCGCCACAATTAATATTTTACAACACTCTCAACTTTTTATTCTCATTTGTATTCAAATTTGATTAGAAGAAGAAAAATTAAATGGATAACATCATGACTTCCTATTAAATTGAGCACTCGAGCATGCCAAATTATAGAAAATAGAAAATAAGAGTAGGAATTAAGAGTACATGTAGAATTACTCAATTTATCTGTTCACCTTCTTGGTCATTGTATATTTGTATTTGATTTATTTGTCGATCCTGTGAGGTTGCGAGGTCTACCCACTTTCGTTGACCAACTGCCTCTTTGAAATGTCCGTCTAAGTCACTGCCATTTACTTAGGCAATTTCCCATCATCTTCATTTCTTCTTCATCCTCTGCTACTCTACTATATATCTCGTTAAATTAGGCAATCTAAGCTGCGTGCTAGAATATCGAGACAGAATTGAAGATAGTAGTGCAGTCAACTTCAAGTATGGCATCGCCATCATCTTCATCCTATGCTCGCAAAAAGTATGATGTTTACTTGAGTTTTAGCGGCGAGGATACACGGAAATCCATTATCGATCATCTATATTATCGATTTAGAGAGGCTGGAATTAATGTCTTCCGAGACGATGAACACTTCCAGCGTGGGGATAACATTGCTGTTTCCCTGCTTCCGGCCATCCAGGAGTCGAGGATATTCATAGTCGTATTCTCCAAAAGATATGCCAATTCAAGCTGGTGCCTAGAGGAGCTTGCAACAATCATGGAATGTAAAGAGCGCTTGAACCAAATTGTTATTCCTGTATATTATGGTGTTGAACCTTCAGAGGTTCGCAAACAAAAAGGCGAGTTTGGTTATGCATTCGCTGAACACGAAAAACGATATGAGTATGGAGAAGTTAAGAGGTGGAGAGTTTCACTCGAAGCCGCTTCTAATTTATCCGGATGGTCATTGCAAGGCGACATGACATATAATGGGTAATCCTTGCTCTTTTCAATTTCTTTTCATTTTGGGATATTTGTTACATAATTTGGCAGACTTACTCATATAGCTAGTCAGTTCATATTTATGGCAGTTCTTAATTAGAAAAATTTATTAAACCTATCTGATTATTGAAGAAGCAAGAAAATATGCATCTTCGATCTACGGAGTATATATGAATTCTTGATTGATTATATATATTATAGAGAGTTGTTATACCTTGCAAGGTGAAGCTGGCGACTCTCGTCCTAAACAACGTATAAATTGTGTATTTTTAGTATTGAAATTGTGAATTTCTAGAATAATATAAATTGTGTTTCTAAATTAAAACACATAATAACTATAGAAACTGGTCATAAGATTCTAATATGCTATATTTTGTGACTGTAGTATTTGAAAGGAACTTGTGAATACAAAACAAGGTAATCAATTACATTATGTTAACATTGTGCATGCGTTCATAGTATACAAATTATGAATTTTTAAAAATTAAATTGTGAACATTTAGTAAGTAAATTGTAATCATTTGGACTCGGGTTCACCTTGAATCCATACAATAATTTGTGGATTATAGAGCTACTGACTAATTATGTTAGTAGGTGACAAAATTTAATTGATACAAAATATTAAAAGATCCCTTGGTAAATTTGTTGCATGCAAAATATAATTTTGGTCTCTTCGCCCTAATTTTAAGTCATTAATGACCAAATTAATTCATTACTTATCTTGAAGGACATAAATATGACATTTTTTCCTTTCAAGATAAGTAACTTACATAGCGCAACTAAATGTTGGTCCATGAAAGTAAAAGTCCGTCGGGTCGGAGTGTGGGGGGCCCTTAGGGTTGGGGTTCAGCATTTTGGAATAATGAAAGTAAAAGTCCATTAAAAGAAGGAGTTGAATAAACTTTTAAACATTATTATTATTATTATTATTATTATTATTATTATTATTATTTAATATTTAATTTTGTAATTTATTGTGAGTTTTCGTTGTGAAAATCTTTGACTTGCTATGTTTTCTGTATAGCTTGGTTTGGTTTCGAATATGTGAAATTTGTGTAGCATGGATGAATAGATAAATAAATAATGACTTAAAGTAAAGTAGAAAGATATTTATAGTGGTTCAAGGAATTGCCTACACAATTTTTTTTCTTAATCCCAAAAGGATTTCACTATGTATTTTTTAAGAAAGACAAGTGATTAAAGCCTTTTGCAATACAGTGTTACTTGCTTCTTCTCGCGTGACAAGGAATTGCCTAGGAAATTTGTGTAGCATGGATGAATAGATAAATAAATAATGACTTAAAGTAAAGTAGAAAGATATTTATAGTGGTTCAAGGAATTGCCTACACAATTTTTTTTCTTAATCCCAAAAGTATTTCACTATGTATTTTTTAAGAAATACAAGTGATTAAAGCCTTTTGCAATACAGTGTCGCTTGCTTCTTCTCGCGTGACAACCCTTTAATGTAAGTCACAATCTTTTTGTTGACCTAAATCACCTAATCTTCTATGTTTGATATGATCAATCTTTGCCAAATGTCAACCATGAAGTCGTCTTGCTTAGATAATCCTCCAACACCTTTTAAAGAAAGAAATAGAATTGTTTTAAGGTTGGACTTTGAGAATCTAGATGATTCTTTTAGCTTAAAACATTTGATTTTGTTTGAAAGCCTTTTTGAATCACTCTCGAATTCTCAATGTCTGTGATAGTTCAACACTTCAACGACTGTACCTGTTTTAAAGCTTGGGTCCTCATTAAATATACGCGAAAAGTTGAGTGTTGATTTGATGAAGACTGTAATAATTGTATTGAATCAATGTAATCCCAAAAAAGTACAGATAATGAGAATATATTCACGGAAGAGTCACATGATGACTGGGATAAGAAATCATAAACTGATGACTCAAATACATAGAGACCTAATACTCTCCCTCAAGCACATGGTACTAGTAACCTGTAGCTTGTTTCTAAGAAAAGAAAATCTAGGACCAGGTAGAGCTTTCGTAAATATATCTGCAAGTTGATCTTTGGTTGAGATGAAGTTGACTTGAATATCTCCAGAAGCCACTCTATCACGCACAAAGTGATAATCAATTTCTACGTGTTTGGTGCGTGCATGAAAGATTGGATTGGCACACATATAGGTAGCACCTAGATTGTCACACCATAGCTTTGGAATAGAAATACTTGGCACCTTTATTTCGCGTAGCAACGAAATAACCCATAATACCTCTGCACAGACATCTGCTAGGGCTTTGTATTCCGCCTCAGTGGAAGACCTAGCAACAGTTATTTTCTTCTTACAAACCCAAGATATAAGATTGGTCCCAAGAAAAACAGCAAACCACTAGTGGACTTACGATCTTCAGGACAACCAGCCCAATCAGTATCAGAAAAAGCATGAATTTCCTTTGACATTGATTTTCGTATACGCAACCCAAAACCAAATATTCCCTTAACATACATTAAGACACGTTTCAGCTACTCCCAATGTGATGTGGTAGGAGCATGCATGTGCTGACAAAGTTGATTAACCGCAAAGGATAAATCAGGTCGTGTAACAGTGAGATATTGCAGTGCTCCAGCCAGGATCCTGTACTGCGTAGGATCATCATATAAGTCTGCACTAAAGGGAACAGTTTTCGAAACAGATATAGGAGTAGAGAGAGGTTTGCATTCCGCCATGCCAGCAAGTTTCAAAATATCGTTCATATGTCGTTGTTGAGACAATAGAATTCCATCATCACATTTAACAGTTTCAATGCCAAGGAAAAAATTTTGTTCACCAAGATCTCTATTCTTGAAAGTGGCAGACAATTTTGAGAGTAAGTGAGTAACAAGAGCCTAATCACTTCCCATTAAAAGAATATCATCCACATAGACCCACAAATAAACCAGTGCAGAATCTTGAGAGAAATAGAATAGAGAGACATCTGTCTTTGATGCTTGAAAATCAATGGATATTAAAAACGTGTGTACATAATTAAACCAAGCTCTAGGAGCTTGTTTTAATCCATGCAGTGAACGTTTTAATAAGCAGACATGTTGTGGAAAACTGGCATCAATATAACCAGAGGTTGCTTCATATAAACAGTTTCATCCAAATTTCCATTAAAAAAAACATTATGAACATCTAGCTGCCTGATAACCCATCCAGATGATAAAGCTAAGGATAATAGAAGCCTTACAGTTGTGGGTTTCACCACTGGGCTGAATGTATTAAAGAAATCCTAACCTAGCTTTTCGCTTAAGGATAATAGAAACATTATGAAACCTTTTGCTACTAACCTGGTTTTTCGCCTATCAATAGTGCTATAAGCCTTCCGTTTTTGGGCGAAACACCCATTTACACCCAATAATATTCATACCTGTGGTGGAAGGAACTAGGGACCAAGTCTGATTCTATAGTAAAGCATTAAATTCTTGTTCCATAGCTTCACGCCACTCAGGATACTTAACAACTTGAGTGTAACATGTAGGCTCCGTAGGACAAACCTAAGCAGCCAGAGCCGTAGGAGGAGCCTGAGACTTACTGCGAGTCGCCATGGAGTGGGTGTGGACGGTTGGTCTCGTCGACTTGTCACGCGGACGCCGTGCAGTCTCTATAGTTTCGGCCGAGGATGACGTAGGCTGCACGGAATCAGCTTACATGGGCTCGTCCGGAAACACGGGCTCGGTCGGTGGATCTGGATGCACAGAATCCGATGCAACATTGATGACGTCATGGTGAAAAATAGATTCCGCCCAGGGAGCAGTCTGAGTAGGTGGTGCCGCCTACAAGGAAGGTTTAGTAGCAAAAGGAAATACTTCTTCATCAAATCTGACATGCCTGCATGTGTAAATCTTATTAGTATGTAAGTCCATGCACCTATAATCCCTAAAGGAATTAGGATAACCTAGGAAGACACAAGGAGATGACCTATATGACATTTTATGACGATTGTACGGTTTTAAGTGAGGATAATACAGACAACCAAAGACACAAAAGAAGGATGAGAACTGGAGTTATTTAATAGAGAGGATGACATTCTGTTAATTAAATAGACATCAGTCTCAAAAGCAAAATTCCAGAATTTTAAAGGAACAAAAGAATGAGCTAAGAGTGACCAGTTTCAACAATATGTTTGTGTTTACGTTCAACACGACCATTCTGCTCATGTGTATATGCACAGGATTGCCTATGTTGAATTCCTAACTGAACAAAGGAGGCATGCAATTTTTTGTATTCAGCACCAAGATCAGACTGAATGGTTTTTATTTTTCGATTGAAGGACCTTTTAATAAGAACACGAAACTTATCAAATATGACATAGATATTAGACTTTAATTTCATAGAGAACAACCACGTGTAACGAGAATGATCATCTACAAAGATTACCAAGTAACAATAACCATTAGTAGACAATATAGGAGCTGGTCCCCAAATATCAGTGTATATTAAATCAAGAACATCCAAGCTCAACACGTGCTAAAGGGAAACGTGCAGATTTTCCCAATTGACACGTTGAACATAAACTGGAATTACAACGAATAGTACGACTAGAGCCACTAACCGAACAAGACTGAAGAATTTGAGTAAGGACACGTGATGAGGATGACCCAAACGATCATGCCAAACCGATGCGGAAGTACGAGCGGAGAGAAACGCGGAAGGAGACGAATTTGGATCAGGAAAAGTGTATAGGCCACCCGAACTACTGCCCCGTAGGAGGATTTCCTTGGTGGCGATGTCTTTCACAAGAAAAAAAAAAAGGATGAAACTCAAAGAACACATTGTTATCTGTAGCAAAACGTTGAATAGATAATAAAGAGGTAGACAGACCAGGAACATACAATATATTAGACATCGTAAAAGACCTAGAACGGGTGTCAAAAGTAGCATCACCAACACGACTAATAGACAGGCCCATACCATCACCGACATGTAAAGTGTCATTACCAGTATACTTCTCCGAGGTAGAAAGGGCAGCTATGTCTGGAGTTGCATGATT